AAAAAAAAAAAAAAAAACTATTTTTCTTTTGTTAAAAAAAAAAAGTTTTTATAACTTAAATTAATTTAAAAATTATAAAATAAATAAATTAACAATAAAGGTAAGATTAAATAATTGTAAAATATATTATTTTTATTATTATTATTATTATAAAAAAAACTTATTTATATATTATTAATAATAATGATAAAAATTAATTTTTCTTTTTTTTTATATATAGAAAAAAAACAAAAAAACAATTTAAAGTTTGTTGTTTGTTGTTTATTGTTTGTTTTTTAATGTTTAAAAAATAATACTAATAATAATAATAATAATAATAATTAAGTAATAATTATATTTTTAAATAAAAACAAAAAAATTTCGTAATAATTAAACCCCTATTTTTTAAAAAAAAATAAAATAAAATAAGCCACCATGTTAAAACTTTTTTATGATAAAAAAAATTAAGCAATGTTTAACTTGTATCATTTTTTTTTATTATAAAAATGGGGGGAAGGGGAGGAACGTCGAATAATTACCGACCGACAGTAAACGATTATAAAAAAAAAAATTATATTTATTATCATCGTCATCGTCGTCATGTATAAAAAAAAAAATAAAAAATAAGAGAATTATATACGTGGATATTTAAAAATTAAATTAATGGTTTCAATATGTTACACCTTCGTAATATGACAACAGACACCTACAAAAAAAAAAAAAAAAAAAAAAAAAAAAACATTTTTTTCCTTCCTTCCCACCCTCCCTCCACTTTCCTCCCCTTCCCTTCCCTCCTTTTTTACATGGACGTGACGTATTTAACAAATCTCCATATTTTTTATTTTTTTTTTAAATCATTTTTTTAGTTAATTTTTTACCATTTTTTAAAAATAAAACAACATTATAATAATTATTTACGATGGAAACCGATCGAAACCCTCCCCCCTCTCCTTCCCCTTCTCCTTTTCCCCTCCTTAAAAAAAATTATTAAACAAAATGATTTTTCTTTTTTTTTCCCCCTTTTTTTCTGTAAGAGAAAAGTTTCAATTTTCAAATTAAAAAAAAATAAAAATAAAATAACGGTGGGTTATTTTTTTTTAAAGTCACATTATTATTATTATTATTATTATTATTATTATTATTATTATTATTATTATTATTATTATTATTATTTTACAAGAGAATAAATAAATAAATAAAAATAAGGTTGTTAAATAATTATTTGTTCAAATAAATAAAAAAAAACATTTTCTTCTTTTTCTTCTTTATTATTATTATTATTAATTTTTAATTTTTAATTGAAACATTATGTTTATGGAAAAAGCAACGACGTAAAAAATAATTAGCTCGAGTTTGTTTTCTTTTTTTTTTTTTTTTTGTTAACTTTACGCATTTTTATAATTTATTATAATAAATAATGATGATGATGATGATGGTGATGATAATGATGATAAAATAAGTTTTTTTTTGTTTTGATCGTTTCCTTGCCCTTAAATATAATTTTATGTTTGTAAAAAAATTCAAAAAAAAAATTGGGTTACATAAAACTTTTCTTTTTTCTTTTTTTTAATAAGAAACGAGACCTTTTGTTTTTTTTTTACCCTAACGAGGTATTTTTAAACAATAATAATAATGATAATAATAATAATCAATTAAATTTAAAAAAAGATGAGATATATAAATAAAGAAAAAATTATTTCGCACAGGTAAGTAAATAAAAATAAAAATTTAACGTTATGAAAAATTAAATTTTATTTTTATTATTATCATTATCATTATTATTGTTATCATTCGAGTGTATTTTTAATTTGGAAAAAAAAAAAAAAATTTTTTTTTATTTTTAACGATTTCGCCCGGTGTACCGGAAACGAAAGAGTAAATAAATATTCATTAAAAGGTTTATTAAATCATTTTAAAATTTACGTAGGAGAAAAATACAGGGACAAAAAAAAAAACAAAAAATTTACATTTCGGATTTAAAACGAATTTGTGTTTTTAAATATTTCCACCCTCCCCCCCTCATCTACCCATCTTTCTCTACCCCGTCGATTTTTTCCGGAAAACTTTCCGCCTCCCGTTTTTTTATGATTCGCTACCACAACTAGAGATTTAATTTTAAAAAATTTTACCCAAAATTGGCACAGACACACACACGTCAATTTTTGACAATTATAATTTTTTTAACTTTTTGAACGTTAAAAAAAATTTTTTAAATTTAAAATTCATGCACATGTTCATATTTTCGTATTATAAAATTAACTCGTGATGAAAAATTATGAGGGGTAAGAGTGGTAAGGGTGCGGGGGGGCAGGAAAACGTTTAAAAAAAAATTTTATTTTTTTCACCAACGAAAAGTTTTAAAAGTTATAAAATTTAAACGCAAAACTAAATTCAAATTACCAGTAAATTATTTATTTATTTATTTTCTTTTCAAAGTTTTCGAATTTTCTTTTTTCCTCCACCACCGCCCCCCCAGAAAAAAAAAACGTAAGCAATCTTTTTTCTTATTCAAATTTATAATTTGTATTGATGATAAATAAATTTCAAATTTTTTTTTTTTTTTTTTAAATAAGTAAACGAATAAAAAAGAAAAATTTTTTTTTCTTCTTCGTCGCTGTCGTGATGATGATGATGATGATGAATAAATAAAATCAAAATGAAACAAACATAAACAAACACACACACACGTTGTTACCCTTATTATTATATGCAAAAGTCAACAATTAATAATATTTGACATTTAATATGTTAAAATTACCCACAAAAAAATAAAAAAAAACATTTTAACTTTATATCCAATTACATTATTTGTCTTGTTGCTGTTGCTGTTGTTGTTGTTGTCGTTGTTGTTGTTGTTGTTGTTGTTGTTGTCCACGTTTAAAAATTTTTTTTTTTTTTATGTTTATGCCACATCATACGTTCTTCGTAAGTTTTTGCTTGTAAGCTTATTTCTCTCTCTTTCTCTTTCTACGTTAAAAACATAAAAACTTTGTTAGTTTTTTTTTTTTGTAAGTAATAATAATAATAATAATAAATTTCATAAAGGTAAAACAATAACATTGACCTTAATTTAACAAAAAAAAAAATTTACCTTTTTGTTTTAACTCTCTCTAATACTTTTACATTATGTAATTTATTTTTTAAAAAAATGGCGACATTTTGTTTTTGTTTGTTTTAAACACAATTTAATAAACTTTTGTTTTTTCGCTTTTTTCCCACCATTTAATAATATTTTATTTTAAATTAATTAATAAAAATAAATATTTTTTTTTTATTAACGCGGTAATAATAGAATCAAATAGTCAAAGGGGAATACATTGAATTTTTTTTTTTTTATTAAAATTTTTTTTTTTTTATAAAAAAAATAATTTATTACCTCCTTCCGCATATTTCCCTCCCCCCCTTCCCCTGTCTCCCTATCCCCTCTTTCGTTTATTTTAATATGAAGAATTCATTTTTTTGGTTTTTTGAATTTAATAAAAGTCGGAATAATTAAACCGTTAAAAACAAAAAAAAAATATGAAAAATTAAACGAATCAATATTCATTTGGGAAAAATTTAAATGTTTATGTCATTATTATTATTATTATTATTATTATTATTATCATCGTAATTTTTTTTTTCCAGATGCAGATGCTACCTGCATTTATTTTCGTTACTACTTTCGTTACTTGTATTATTTATGCGGGTTTTTGTTACGGTGATCCAATTAGGCCAATTTACGAGAGAAATGAAAATATGTTAAGACCTACAAGGCCGAAAATATTTTCATCACCCAACGATTTTAAATCTTATTTGGAAGATTTGGGTAATTTTTATGCCATCGCCGGTAGGCCGAGGTTTGTAGTTTAATAATAATAATAATAATATTATTATATAATCGTCACGAATTAAGAAAATTTTCTCTGTAATAGGTTTGGTAAAAGAACTCTGTCTCCTGGTGCGGCGAATTATTTAAGGGATGATTCATCCACATATAAAAATCTTCCAGTCAGTTATACAGATTTATTACAAATGCTTTCAAGCATGACGCAGAATCAAGAGTAATTAATCTCTCGTTATGTAACTAATTATTACGATGATGATGATGATGATGAT